CTACAGCACTTGTCAATGAGCCACCAATGTTCTCACAGCTACAGCACTTGTCAATGAGCCACCTGGTCAATGTTCTCACAGCTACAGCACTTGTCAATGAGCCACCTGTCAATGTTCAATGCACTTGTCAAGAGCACAGTTCTACAGCTACAGCACTTGTCAATGAGCCACCTGGTCAATGTTCTCAAAGCTACAGCACTTGTCAATTAGCCACCTGGTCAATGTTCTCACAGCTACAGCACTTGTCAATTAGCCACCTGGTCAATGTTCTTCAAGCTACAGCACTTGTCAATCAGACATCTGGTCAATGTTCTCACAGCTACAGCATTGTCAATGAGCCACCTGGTCAATGTTCTCAAAGCTACAGCACTTGTTAATTAGACACCTGGTCAATGTTCTAAGAGCTACCAGCACTTGTCAATTAGACATCTGGTCAATGTTCTCACAGCTACAGCACTTGTCAATTAGCCACCTGGTCAATGTTCTTCAAGCTACAGCACTTGTCAATCAGACATCTGGTCAATGTGGGCAAACCCCTCGATGGCTTGAGCAAATAAAAAACAAACTGCTAGAGATGGAAATGGAAGGCAAATTGCTAGATGGCTTGAAAAAAAAAGGCTTCAGTGAAACAAGAACATCATAGACTTAACAAGAGGCAGATGACCATGTGAGATGATTAACCTTGACTGTTTACCACTTCAGGCTACCAGCAAGGTAGAAGACAGTGATGACACACTAACCACATCTGCTCAAGCGGACAAAGCTCTTCTCTCATACACAAACATTGAAATGTGTTAAAGACCTAATGACTAATTAAGCAGAATGTACACATCATATTTGCCCCAAATATCAGAGATTTAACAACAGAAAATCTGAACTGTTTCTTTCAACAATGAAATAACTTATAAAACAAAATCAGCCCAGTATTCAGCATTCATGGGGTCAACACACAAGTCCCTTTGAATGATGTTTATTTACCTGAGGGTCAACAAAAGAAAAAGTCTCAGGAAAGAAAACTGAATCACTTATGTCAATTCTACCTACTATAACTACGGTTCACAATTTATATTAATACAAATGACATGTCAGTCAGCAGTAGTGATCGATGCTCTTGAAATACCACTTTAGAGTCAAGGAGGTTTGATGTAGATGAGACAAAAATTTGAAGATTGTTTGGAATGATCAATGCTCATGAAATACCACTTCAGAGTCAAGGAGGTTTGATGTAGATGAGACAAAAATGTGAAGATTGTTTGGAATGATCGATGCTCTTGAAATACCACTTCAGAGTCAAGGAGGTTTGATGTAGATGAGACAAAAATGTGAAGATTGTTTGGAATGATCGATGCTCTTGAAATACCACTTCAGAGTCAAGGAGGTTTGATGTAGATGAGACAAAAATTTGAAGATTGTTTGGAATGATCAATGCTCATGAAATACCACTTCAGAGTCAAGGAGGTTTGATGTAGATGAGACAAAAATGTGAAGATTGTTTGGAATGATCGATGCTCTTGAAATACCACTTCAGAGTCAAGGAGGTTTGATGTAGATGAGACAAAAATGTGAAGATTGTTTGGAATGATCGATGCTCTTGAATTACCACTTCAGAGTCAAGAAACTGTTTCGTAGACAAGAATATGTCAAGAAAATTGTGTCTGTGGCAATGTTAAAGCTTGAAGCTGGTCAATTATCAGACACCATGGGCATTTCTGAGGATAAATTTAATGCCAGTTATGGCTGGGCAAGGTGCTTTATGGCAGGAAGTGACTTCAAGCTTCGGCAGCGGACAACAGTGGCATTCCTTACATGTATCCCCGTGTGAGTTCTTGGGCCCCATCGTGTGGAAAACAAGAATAGACCCACTGCCTGCCCAACAAGCATGTCATTAGAGCCGACTAACTGGGGACTTCCTTTGAAGTCGGAGTGCATCTGCCTGAGAGGCAAGGAACCAACAGTCTGCATGCAAATGAGTCAGATCTGTCACATGGATGCACACGCAACCATCAGGTTCTGAAACAGGGCTGCAGTCCAGAAGTGGACGAACAACCAGAACTTTCCGCCAGAGTTTACAGCTGGGGAACGGGAAGAAGAAGAAGAGGTTACCTGTATAGTTTTTATAAGGTACGTTTCAAAATGGTGTATTGTTCATTAATAAATTGTATGTAATTTACGCGTGGTCCTAATATTTTCAAATATAAGGTGCACCCTATTTTTCATTTAATGACTTTTAGTTAAAATACTGCGGCCTATAGGCTAGTACATAACAGTATTTCATCTATTGATCTTGTGCTGTAATCAGAGGACTTTTAATGTGAATTACATCAATTACAAGCTTTTTTTCCTGGTCAGTTTATTTACACGTGATTTGTGAACATTGCTACATCATCGCTGAACTGTTAATTACCACCGTTCTGTATACTGTATTGCTAGACTTGAAAGCACAAGACCCTTTGGATTTTCTAGGCACTTTCACAGAATTGTCATAATTTGCCTGCTTTGTTGAGGTAAAATTAAAGTGAGTAAAATATTTGCATGCATAATTTCTGGCTGACTGTTGATATTGGTTTCAGAGTCGCCGTCGCCGGTGGTGGCTCAGCTGTCTGATATTTATATATTTAACTTGGACTACGTGGAGCACATTGATGTCCTTGAGGACAAGAAGGAGGCTCCAGAACCTTTGCCAATTATTAGTGTTGACAAGGTGAGCTTGCTGGTCTTTGACTGTTAGCCTCGTGTGTGTGGTAGACAGGCAGATCTTCTATGAAGGTGATTGACTGTTAGCCTTGTATGTGTGGTAGGTAGACAGGCAGATCTTCTATGAAGGTGATTGACTGTTAGCCTTGTATGTGTGGTAGACTGGCAGATCTTCTATGAAGGTGATTGACTGTTAGCCTCGTGTGTGTGTGGTAGGTAGACAGGCAGACCTTCTATGAAGGTGATTGACTGTTAGCCTTGTATGTGTGGTAGACAGGCAGACCTTCTATGAAGGTGATTGACTGTTAGCCTTGTATGTGTGGTAGACTGGCAGATCTTCTATGAAGGTGATTGACTGTTAGCCTTGTATGTGTGGTAGACAGGCAGACCTTCTATGAAGGTGATTGACTGTTAGCCTTGTATGTGTGGTAGACAGGCAGACCTTCTATGAAGGTGATTGACTGTTAGCCTTGTATGTGTGGGTAGACTGGCAGATCTTCTATGAAGGTGATTGACTGTTAGCCTTGTATGTGTGGTAGACAGGCAGACCTTCTATGAAGGTGATTGACTGTTAGCCTTGTATGTGTGGTAGACAGGCAGACCTTCTATGAAGGTGATTGACTGTTAGCCTTGTATGTGTGGTAGACAGGCAGACCTTCTATGAAGGTGATTGACTTAGCCTTGTATGTGTGGTAGACTGGCAGACCTTCTATGAAGGTGATTGACTGTTAGCCTTGTATGTGTGGTAGACTGGCAGATCTTCTATGAAGGTGATTGACTGTTAGCCTCGTGTGTGTGGTAGGTAGACAGGCAGACCTTCTATGAAGGTGATTGACTGTTAGCCTCGTGTGTGTGGTAGGTAGACAGGCAGACCTTCTATGAAGGTGATTGACTGTTAGCCTCGTGTGTGTGGTAGGTAGACAGGCAGACCTTCTATGAAGGTGATTGACTGTTAGCCTCGTGTGTGTGGTAGGTAGACAGGCAGACCTTCTATGAAGGTGATTGACTGTTAGCCTCGTGTGTGTGGTAGGTAGACAGGCAGACCTTCTATGAAGGTGATTGACTGTTAGCCTCGTGTGTGTGGTAGGTAGACAGGCAGACCTTCTATGAAGGTGATTGACTGTTAGCCTTGTATGTGTGGTAGACTGGCAGACCTTCTATGAAGGTGATTGACTGTTAGCCTTGTATGTGTGGTAGACTGGCAGATCTTCTATGAAGGTGATTGACTGTTAGCCTCGTGTGTGTGGTAGGTAGACAGGCAGACCTTCTATGAAGGTGATTGACTGTTAGCCTCGTGTGTGTGGTAGGTAGACAGGCAGACCTTCTATGAAGGTGATTGACTGTTAGCCTCGTGTGTGTGGTAGGTAGACAGGCAGACCTTCTATGAAGGTGATTGACTGTTAGCCTCGTGTGTGTGGTAGGTAGACAGGCAGACCTTCTATGAAGGTGATTGACTGTTAGCCTTGTGTGTGTGGTAGGTAGACAGGCAGACCTTCTATGAAGGTGATTGACTGTTAGCCTTGTATGTGTGGTAGACTGGCAGACCTTCTATGAAGGTGATTGACTGTTAGCCTTGTATGTGTGGTAGACTGGCAGACCTTCTATGAAGGTGATTGACTGTTAGCCTTGTATGTGTGGTAGACAGGCAGACCTTCTATGAAGGTGATTGACTGTTAGCCTTGTATGTGTGGTAGACTGGCAGATCTTCTATGAAGGTGATTGACTGTTAGCCTTGTATGTGTGGTAGACAGGCAGATCTTCTATGAAGGTGATTGACTGTTAGCCTTGAATGTGTGGTAGACAGGCAGATCTTCTATGAAGGTGATTGGCTGTTAGCCTTGTATGTGTGTGGTAGACAGGCAGACCTTCTATGAAGGTGATTGACTGTTAGCCTTGTGTGTGTGGTAGACTGGCAGATCTTCTATGAAGGTGATTGACTGTTAGCCTTGTATGTGTGGTAGACAGGCAGATCTTCTATGAAGGTGATTGACTGTTAGCCTTGTATGTGTGTGGTAGACAGGCAGACCTTCTATGAAGGTGATTGACTGTTAGCCTTGTGTATGTGGTAGACAGGCAGATCTTCTGAATGATTGGTGTTAGCATTGTACTGTTAGACCAGATCTTCTATGGTGATTGTTAGCTTGTATGTATGGTGGCAGATCTTCTATGAAGGTGATTGACTGTTAGCCTCATGTGTGTGGTAGACATGCAGTTCTTCTGTGAAGGTGATTGACTGTTAGCCTTGTGTGTATGGTAGACAGGCAGATCTTCTATAAAGGTGATTGATTGTTAGCCTTGTATGTGTGTGGTAGGTAGACAGGCAGATCTTCTATGAAGGTGATTGACTGTTAGCCTTGTATGTATGTGGTAGACAGGCAGACCTTCTATGAAGGTGATTGACTGTTAGCCTTGTGTATGTGGTAGACAGGCAGATCTTCTATGAAGGTGATTGACTGTTAGCCTTGTATGTGTGTGGTAGACTGGCAGATCTTCTATGAAGGTGATTGACTGTTAGCCTCATGTGTGTGGTAGACATGTAGTTCTTCTGTGAAGGTGATTGGCTGTTAGCATCCATTGTATGGTAGACAGGCAGATCTTCTATAAAGGTGATTGATTGTTAGCCTTGTATGTATGGTAGACTGGCAGATTTTTCTATGAAGGTGATTGACTGTTAGTCTCATGTGTGTGGTAGACAGGCAGATCTTCTATGAAGGTGATTTACTGTTAACCTTAAGTTTATGGTATTCACACAATATTTGCTAATGTGTCGGCTTTTAGTGTGGTAACTATTCTGATGAGCTACTGCTGGTGTTTATTTTGTCTGTTGTCTGTTTTATATCGGTTTGTCACACACTCAGTGCAGTAATGTCTACTCATTGTAGTCCAGTTTTATATCAGATTGTCACACACTCAGTGCAGTAATGTCTACTCATTGTAGTCCAGTTTTATATCAGATTGTCACACACTCAGTGCAGTAATGTCTACTCATTGTAGTACAGTTTTATATCAGATTGTCACACACTCAGTGCAGTCATAAGTTTACATCTTCTGTTGCCAGATATCAAAACGACTGCAGGAACAAGAAAAAGATCGAGCCAAACAAAAAACCTACATTGGTGTCGGTGTGTCTCCTGAAGGGCAGCGACTGATGAACACAATATCCAAAACGTAATATTTTATTCTTGTTAACCCCACTAAAACTTCAGTCAAATTAATTTTCTCCACTTTGCTAAATGTGTGGTGATTTGCAGGTGAAGGTTATTGTGGCATTAATCTGAGCTTTTAACTGGTACTAGTTGACCTAATCAGGTCTATGTTTCAGCTCTTACCTGTCTGTAACTACACATTGATTTGGTCATGTCTATGTTTCAGCTTTTACCTGTCTGTAACTACATGTTGATTTGGTCATGTCTAGGTTTCAGCTCTCACCTGTCTGTAACTACATGTTGATTTGGTCATGTCTAGGTTTCAGCTCCCACCTGTCTGTAACTACATGTTGATTTGGTCATGTCTATGTTTCAGCTCTCACCTGTCTGTAACTACATGTTGATTTGGTCATGACTGTGTTTCAGCTCTCACCTGTCTGTAACTACATGTTGACATAGTCAGGTCTATGTTTCAGCTCTTACCTGTCTGTAACTACATGTTGATTTGGTCATGTCTATGTTTCAGCTCTCACCTGTCTGTAACTACATGTTGACATAGTCATGTCTATGTTTCAGCTCTCACCTGTCTGTAACTACATGTTGACATAGTCAGGTCTATGTTTCAGCTCTTACCTGTCTGTAACTACATGTTGATTTGGTCAGGTCTATGTTTCAGCTCTCTCTTACCTGTCTGTAACTACTGTTGACTAGTAATGTCTGTGTTTCAGCTCTTACCTGTCTGTAACTGTGTTTCAGCTCTTACCTGTCTGTAACTACATGTTGACATAGTAATGTCTGTGTTTCAGCTCTTACCTGTCTGTAACTACATGTTGATTTGGTCATGTCTATGTTTCAGCTCTTACCTGTCTGTAACTACATGTTGATTTGGTCATGTCTATGTTTCAGCTCTCACCTGTAACTACATGTTACTACTATGTTTCAGCTCTTACCTGACTCTAACTACATGTAGTCATGTCTGTGTACATTTCATAGCTCTATACCTGTCTGTAACTACATGTTGACATGGTCATGTCTATGTTTCAGCTCTCACCTGTCTGTAACTACATGTTGATTTGGTCATGTCTGTGTTTCAGCTCTCACCTGTCTGTAACTACATGTTGACATAGTCAGGTCTATGTTTCAGCTCTTACCTGTCTCTAACTACATGTTGACATAGTCATGTCTATGTTTCAGCTCTCACCTGTCTGTAACTACATGTTGACATAGTCATGTCTATGTTTCAGCTCTCACCTGTCTGTAACTACATGTTGACATAGTCAGGTCTATGTTTCAGCTCTTACCTGTCTGTAACTACATGTTGATTTGGTCAGGTCTATGTTTCAGCTCTCACCTGTCTGTAACTACATGTTGACATAGTCATGTCTGTGTTTCAGCTCTTACCTGTCTGTAACTACTGTCTCACCTGTCGTAACTACATGTCTGTACACATGTTGACATGTCATGTGTTTTTCAGCTCTTACCTGTCTGTAACTACATGTTGATTTGGTCATGTCTATGTTTCAGCTCTTACCTGTCTGTAACTACATGTTGATTTGGTCATGTCTATGTTTCAGCTCTCACCTGTCTGTAACTACATGTTGATTTGGTCATGTCTAGGTTTCAGCTCTCACCTGTCTGTAACTACATGTTGACATAGTCATGTCTGTGTTTCAGCTCTCACCTGTCTGTAACTACATGTTGATTTGGTCAGGTCTATGTTTCAGCTCTCACCTGTCTGTAACTACATGTTGACATAGTCATGTCTATGTTTCAGCTCTCACCTGTCTGTAACTACATGTTGATTTGGTCATGTCTATGTTTCAGCTCTCACCTGTCTTTAACTACATGTTGATTTGGTCATGTCTAGGTTTCAGCTCTCACTGTCTGTAACTACATGTAACTACATGTCTATGTTTCAGCTCTCACCTGTCTGTAACTACATGTTGATTTGGTCATGTCTAGGTTTCAGCTCTCACCTGTCTGTAACTACATGTTGACATAGTCATGTCTGTGTTTCAGCTCTTACCTGTCTGTAACTACATGTTGATTTGGTCATGTCTATGTTTCAGCTCTCACCTGTCTGTAACTACATGTTGATTTGGTCATGTCTATGTTTCAGCTCTCACCTGTCTGTAACTACATGTTGATTTTGTCATGTCTAGGTTTCAGCTCTCACCTGTCTGTAACTACATGTTGACATAGTCAGGTCTATGTTTCAGCTCTCACCTGTCTGTAACTACATGTTGACATAGTCATGTCTGTGTTTCAGCTCTTACCTGTCTGTAACTACATGTTGATTTGGTCATGTCTATGTTTCAGCTCTCACCTGTCTGTAACTACATGTTGATTTGGTCATGTCTAGGTTTCAGCTCTCACCTGTCTGTAACTACATGTTAATATAGTCAGGTCTATGTTTCAGCTCTTACCTGTCTGTAACTACATGTTGATTTGGTCATGTCTATGTTTCAGCTCTCACCTGTCTTTAACTACATGTTGATTTGGTCATGTCTAGGTTTCAGCTCTCACCTGTCTGTAACTACATGTTGACATAGTCAGGTCTAGGTTTCAGCTCTCACCTGTCTGTAACTACATGTTGACATAGTCAGGTCTATGTTTCAGCTCTCACCTGTCTGTAACTACATGTTGACATAGTCATGTCTGTGTTTCAGCTCTTACCTGTCTGTAACTACATGTTGATTTGGTCATGTCTATGTTTCAGCTCTCACCTGTCTGTAACTACATGTTGATTTGGTCATGTCTGTGTTTCAGCTCTCACCTGTCTGTAACTACATGTTGACATAGTCAGGTCTATGTTTCAGCTCTTACCTGTCTGTAACTACATGTTGATTTGGTCATGTCTAGGTTTCAGCTCTTACCTGTCTGTAACTACATGTTGATTTGGTCATGTCTATGTTTCAGCTCTCACCTGTCTGTAACTACATGTTGACATAATCATGTCTATGTTTCAGCTCTTACCTGTCTCTAACTACATGTTGACATAGTCATGTCTATGTTTCAGCTCTCACCTGTCTGTAACTACATTTTGGCATAGTCATGTCTGTGTTTCAGCTCTCACCTGTCTGTAACTACATTTTGGCATAGTCATGTCTGTGTTTCAGCATTCACCTGTCTGTAACTACATGTTGACATAGTCATGTCTATGTTTCAGCTCTTACCTGTGTAGCTGTACTTGTTGACATAGTCAGGTCTGTGTTTCAGCTCTTACTTGTCTGTAACTACATATTAACATGGTCAAATCTATGCTTCAGCTATTGCCAGTCTGTGCAACTGTACATATTGACACAGTCAAGTCTGTTTTTTCAGCATCAGTGACTGTAGATGGCATAATCAAGACATTGTTGTCATGGGAGAGGTGACCATTAGGCCGCCGTACGGACCTGCTGATCTTCACTGTGTGGAGGGAAGTAAAGCTTTATCTCACATTTCCAAAATTGTGAGTTGCTTTTTTAGTCTTTTTTTTTAAATTTTTTTATTTTAGTTACACCTGACACACGGTTGGCATCGCCAGTGTTTTGTTGGTTGTTTTTGGGATTTTAGTTACACCTGACACACGGTTGGCAGCGCCAGTGTTTTGTTGGTTGTGTTTGGGATTTTAGTTACACCTGACACACGGTTGGCATCGCCAGTGTTTTGTTGTTTGTGTTTGGGATTTTAGTTACATCTGACACACGGTTGGCAGCGCCAGTGTTTTGTTGTTTGTGTTTGGAATTTTAGTTACACCTGACACACGGTTGGCAGTGCCAGTGTTTTGTTGGTTGTGTTTGGGATTTTAGTTACACCTGACACACGGTTGGCAGCGCCAGTGTTTTGTTGGTTGTGTTTGGGATTTTAGTTACACCTGACACACGGTTGGCAGCGCCAGTGTTTTGTTGGTTGTGTTTGGGATTTTAGTTACATCTGACACACGGTTGGCAGCGCCAGTGTTTTGTTGGTTGTGTTTGGGATAGTCCGGGCAGCCTTAACACCTCATCGTGACTGTTTCTTTGCTGCTGTTTTTTCACTTGTGCATGTTTTATTGAGGTCTCTGCCTGTGTCGGCTCTACAGCCAAACTGACACCTGGTTAACCCACCCACTACCAAGCCTATTAACTCTTCTTGCCATTTCCCCGAATACCCTATATTTCTTGTGTTTCAAATGTTTTTTGGCACCAAATTGAACGGAGAACAATTTTCAATGAAAAAAAATCTGTAATCTTGTCTTACATCATCATGTGGCTGTAGATTGGTGAGAAAAAAAGGCAGCCCAATTTATTGATTATAATTTTTTGGGGGGGGGGGGGCTGAAATAATCCTGGGTCAGAGGTCTGCCTAAGTGAAATAAAATCCGGTGGCTGTTTGCCATTTGGCACCACCAATTTCTGATGCAGTAAAACCCAATTGTCAAACTCTACAAAAATGATTTGTTTTCCACCAAACTGCCCAGTGCAGCAATGGTACCATGGTAAACTTGGAGGATTTGCTTTGTCAAATGTTTTACACTTAACTCTAAACAGTACAGACCTGAAGCACATGCACAAAACAGTCTACACAAACTATTGTGACATCAAACTTACCTCCAACTGCCCTGCTGCTACAACACATGAGTGGCTGTACACAATAATGGACACAGCACATGAGTAGCTGTACACAATAATGGACACAGCACATGAGTGGCTGTCAATCAATCAGGTGCCGTCTCCATAATGAAGGTTGGCTGCAATGGATCTCCAACAAGCCCTGTCTCTTGCCCTTGATGTTATCCTCCCACTTGTAACGCTGTCTGCCTCTTGCTCGCCTACCTTGAACCTTTCACTCTAGAATGATCTTTACAATACTGTTATGTCTTTTAATGTGGCCAAAATATTTCACTTGTCTCTTTTTTATTTCACCTAGCAACTCTTTTTTCATTCCCGATTTCCTCAGTACCTCTGTATTTGATAGCTTTTGTTTCCATGAAATACGACCTAATCTTCTGTATATCCACATCTCCAAAGAGTTGATACGATTTTCCAGTTGTTTGTTCATTGTCCATGTCTCTGTGCCATACAGTAAGGTTGAGAATACATAACATTTGACAATTCTCATTTTTAATGTATTGCTTATTTCTCTTGATGTCAGTAACTTTTGCATGTTGTTGAAAATGTTTTTGGCCATCCCTATTCTTTTCTTGACTTCTGTTTCACTTCTGCCGTCACATGTTATTACTTGTCCAAGATATAAGACATTTTTAACTTGTTCCAATTTCACCCCTTTCACTGTGACATTCATTGTTAGCTGATTATTTTCTTTGCTAAATATCATAGTTTTTGTCTTTTTCAAATTAATATCTAATCCAAATTATGCACTCCTTCTGTTTACTTGCTCCACTCGGTCTTGCAACTCCTGCTCACTCTCTGCTAGCAACACTGTGTCGTCAGCATATCTCAGATTGTTTATTATTCTACCATTGATGTTCAGTCCTGGTAATTCTACAATTTCTTTAAAAATGGTTTCTGTACATGAGTTGAAAAGGCTAGGCGACAGCACACATCCTTGTCTTACTCCTCTCTTGATCTCTATCTGGGGTGAGCAGATATTGAGTGGCTGTACACAATAATTAATACAACACATTATTGGCTGTACACAGTAATGGACACAGCACATGATTGGCTGTACACAGTAATGGATACAACACATGAGTGGCTGTACACAGTAATGGATATAACACATGAGTGGCTGTACACAGTAATAGATATAACACATGAGTGGCTGTACACAGTAATGGATATAACACATGAGTGGCTGTACACAGTAATGGGTATAACACATGAGTGGCTGTACACAGTACTGGATAATGGATACAACACATGAGTGGCTGTACACAGTAATGGATACAACACATGAGTGGCTGTGCACAATAATGGATACAACACACGAGTGGCTGAACAAAGTAATGGATGCTGAAGAGTTCCCAGTGTCTACATTTTGTAATATAAGATATTTGTAATACACACCTTCACTTGACCATGTTTATGTTCGGTCCAGAAACCAGCATTGCAGGATGACCTCGTCAGGTGTCTGCACTTTGTTATAAAAGACCATTTGTGACATGCTTACATAATACTGTTATCTAAGACAAGTTTGTGACATGCTTACATTGTATTGTTATCTAAGACAAGTTTGTCACATGCTTACATTGTATTGTTATCTAAGACAAGTTTGTGACATGCTGACATTGTTTTGTTATCTAAGACAAGTTTGTCACATGCTTACATTGTATTGTTATCTAAGACAAGCTTCTCACATGCTTACATTGTTTTGTTATCTAAGACAAGTTTGTGACATGCTTACATTGTTTTGTTATCTAAGACAAGTTTCTCACATGCTTACATTGTATTGTTATCTAAGACAAGTTTGTCACATGCTTAATTGTATTGTTATCTAAGACAAGTTTGTCAGTACCAACATTGAGCTGTTTATTCCACAGGTTGAGAAACATTATGATGAAGAAGCCAAGCAGGGTCGTCTGCCATCATCACAACACTGATCTCATCTGGTCTAGGTCATGAATGCTGCACAAGGTTACATGATGTTACTTGTGAAGTCAGGACTGGCCATCTTGTGTGTCCGTGTCAGTTGAAAGTGTCTGAATGTGAGTGTCGTGTTGGGTGTGACTGTGGATACTTGGCTACAGCAAGTACAGATCATCAATGCAGTAACTAGAGACAGGCTGGACTGTTAGTTAGTTCATCTGATTATTTAATATATTACACAACAGTGACGCAGGCTTGTTTGACTGATTCTTATGTTATAGAAACTAGGATTGTTGAAGAGCACTATACCCAGAAAACCAGTCATTGTACTTGTCATATGTTTCAAGTTGATTGTTTTAGGCATGTTCAATACATCACTGTGAATGAGAACTCAGACTTGGTTGTTATAAATTCTATAGACAGATTTTATGAATGAGCTATCTAGAACATAAAACTAACAGTTGTGTAAGATTGCAGGACATCAGGAAGTTCTGGCTGTAGTGAAACATAACAAGCCAGCTTGGTTCGGCCACTTGTTGAGGCATGATTTGACTGGAAAAGTGTTGCTAAATAGGCCAGCATCAGATATCCCAGTGGAAACAGTAGAAAACTGACCAACTCCTAGAAATGGATATTGGGCCAGTCAACGTTAGAAATAGAAACAGCAATAAGCACTATGAAGTAGGGCTGTAGCGAATATTCGCTTCAGGGCCGAATAGTGGATCTAATAACTATTCGTTATTCGGCCGAATACGAATAGTGGTTACCTTACACCCGTTTCTGCATACACTGTGATAGACTAAAAAAAACTCTCATTAACACAATAGTTGCTGTTGCCTAAGTCTGTCTTAGTGGGGGCAACTGCGACCCGGTTGCGTGGTGCAGCATCCAGTTTTAACATATGGCCGTGAGTCCTGGGCAATCGGCAGGCAGGCCAAACAATTTCTTGAGGCCTCAGAGGTGTGGTTTTACAGAACAATACCCAAAATACCTTGGACAGCCCCAAAAAAAAAAAAGCAACCAAGAGGTTTTGAAAGAGGTGGGAGCCCGAAGACAACTAATCACAGACATCAGAAGGGCATGTTATGAGAAGAGGAAAAATGGAACATGTGGTGACCACTGGAAAGATCTTTGGAAGGAGGGAGGGATAGAGGAAGACAACGAGGGAAGATTCTTGACAGTCTCGTTGCATGGCATGTAGGTGTGTCACATGAACTAATACATGATGCAGGAGATCGCAGTTTGTGGTAAGGCCTACGCCAGTCGAAAAGGCACCTGATGATGATGATACACTATTCGTATTCGGCCGAATAGTGAAAATCACTATTTGGTACAGCCCTACTATGAAGAATGGGAAGGTACCAGGTGATGATCGAATGAGTGCTGGCATGTTAAAGGCAGGAGCACAATTTACTGTAAAAGCATTACCTGGAATATTAGAAGAAAATATAGATAAATGAAGTGGTCCCAACAGACTGGAAAAATGGTGTAATCATCCCACTACTGAAGAAAGGTGATCTCTCACACTGCAACAGCTGGAGGAATAACATTATTGTTTGTACTCGGAAAGGCACTCTGTAGGGGGATATACAACAGCTGGATAAATAACATTATTGTTTGTACTCAGAAAGGCTCCCTGTAGACTGATATACAACAGCTGGAGGAATAACATTATTGTTTGTACTCAGAAAGGCAATCTGTAGGGGGATATACAACAGCTGGAGGAATAACATTATTGTTTGTACTCGGAAAGGCAATCTGTAGGGAGATATACAACAGCTGGAGGAATAACATTATTGTTTGTACTCAGAAAGGCAATCTGTAGGCTGATATACAACAGCTGGAGGAATAACATTATTGTTTGTACTCAGAAAGGCAATCTGTAGAGTGATATACAACAGCTGGATAAATAACAATATTGTTTGTACTCGGAAAGGCACTCTGTAGGGGGATATACAACAGCTGGAGGAATAACATTATTGTTTGTACTCAGAAAGGCAATCTGTAGGGTGATATGCAACAGCTGGATAAATAACAATATTGTTTGTACTCGGAAAGGCACTCTATAGGGGGATATACAACAGCTGGATAAATAACATTATTGTTTGTACTCAGAAAGGCTCCCTGTAGACTGATATACAACAGCTGGAGGAATAACATTATTGTTTGTACTCGGAAGGGCACTCTGTAGGGGGATATACAACAGCTGGAGGAATAACATTATTGTTTCTACTCAGAAAGGCTCCCTGTAGACTGATATACAACAGCTGGATAAATAACAATATTGTTTGTACTCGGAAAGGCACTCTGTAGGGGGATATACAACAGCTGGAGGAATAACATTATTGTTTGTACTCGGAAAGGCGCTCTGTGGTGGATATACAACAGAATGTTGTCAGAAGATCAGGCAGGGTTCAGAAAAGGAAGAAACTGATCATATTTTCATTCCCAGAAATATTTTGGAACAAGGTTTAGAATGGAATGGCACATTATATATAAACTTTATAGATTTTGAAAAGACCTTTGACAGTATAGATAGAACAATGATGTGGGGGATCCTTGCTGCATATGGGTTACCAGATAAAGTTATAAACATGTTTAAAGGACTCTATGAAGGATACCAATGCAAAGTGAAAGTAGGACTCATGGAAACAGAATACTTCAGAGTAACATCAGGAGTCTAACAAGGCTGCATTCGGTCCCCTTTCTTGTTTCTCATAGTCATAGATTATGTTAGGAAGAAAGCAACCACAGGCAAATGGACAGGCCTTCAGTGGAACCTTCTCGGACCCTGGAACATTTGGATTTTCAGATGATATCTGTGTCATCGGCCAAAGTAAAGAACATCTGCAACAAAAAAAAAAGGTAAGATCATAGAAACAGCAAAACAGACAGGGTTAGGAATCAAAATCAATAAAACAAAAAGTTTGGAGATAGACCCCAAAAGTGAAAGACCTATAGTAATAGATAATGTGGGTTTGGAAACAGTAACTAACTTCACTTATCTGGGAAGCAATATCTTTTTGGATAGAACTGTAGTGGTTAAAATCAAGCAGAACATAAAACTAACGGTTGGGTAAGATTGCAGGACATCAGGGAGTATCTGGAGATTCATCTCCAGCACTAAAACTAAACTCAAGATATACCAAGCATGCGTTGGGACAGCTCTCCTCTGTGTCTGTTCTATGGAACAGACACTTGGAAAACAGACAGAAGATAGAGAGCATGCTCAGAGGTTTTGAGGGAAGACTTCTCCGAAGATTGTTGGGGTTTACTTGGGAAGAAACAAATCAGCAATTCTAGGTTATAACAAATGACAGATTTAGAAGATGTAAAATTAGAAATAAAAAAACAAAGATGGAGGCGAATTGGACATGTCCTCAGAATAGAAAATGAGAAACAGGCAATGTAATGGACACCACAACGACAGTGAGGGAGAGGCAGGCCCAAAGGCACCTGGGGGCGAACCTTTGAGGCTGAACTCAAGGACAAAACTGGAGACAGAGAGGATGGCTCAGGATCAAATTAAGTGACGACTGTTTTTCTCTGCCTTATGTGCCTCTGGGTGCGATGAAGATTGATTGTTGTAGATGGTACAGTTGATGCTTGTTGTGGGCGGAATTGTAGTACTATCTACAGGGCACATGGTGATGATAATTAAGAGATTGCATAGTTGTCAGTCTATCAAGGACCTGTTTCCATGTGAACAGGTCTCTCGATAAATGGTGCTAGATCTATGTTTGTTTATTCCAGTCGTCACTTGATGGATTGTGTGGTGTCAAGTTTTCCTGTCAAGACTATAATCCTGGCTCATTGAGGAGTTACGGTGGCTAGTTTTCCTGTCAAGACTATAATCTGGGCTTAGTCAGGAGTTACTGTGGCTAGTTTTCCTGTCAAGACTATAATCTGGGCTCAGCAGGAGTTACTGTGGCTAGTTTTCCTGCCAAGACTATAATCTGGGCTCAGTCAGGAGTTATGTTGGATAGTTTTCCTGCCAAGATTATAATCTGGGCTTAGTCAGGAGTTACGGTGGCTAGTTTTCCTGTCAAGACTATAATCGTGGCTCAGTCAGGAGTTATAGTGGATAGTTTTCCTGCCAAGACTATAATCTGGGCTCAGTCAGGAGTTATGGTGGATAGTTTTCCTGCAAAAACTATAATCGTGGCTCAGTCAGGAGTTATGGTGGCTAGTTTTCCTGCCAAGACTATAATCTGGGCTCAGTCAGGAGTTATGGTGGATAGTTTTCCTGCAAAAACTATAATCGTGGCTCAGTCAGGAGTTATGGTGGCTAGTTTTCCTGCCAAGACTATAATCTGGGCTCATTGAGGAGTTATGGTGGCTAGTTTTCCTGTCAAGACTATAATCTGGGCTCAGCAGGAGTTACGGTGGCTAGATGTCCTGGGCTCAGCAGGAGTTACGGTGGCTAGTTTTCCTGTCAAGACTATAATCGTGGCTCAGTCAGGAGTTATGGTGGATAGTTTTCCTGCCAAGACTATAATCTGGGCTCAGTCAGGAGTTATGGTGGCTAGTTTTCCTGCCAAGACTATAATCTGGGCTCATTGAGGAGTTATGGTGGCTAGTTTTCCTGTCAAGACTATAATCTGGGCTCAGTCAGGAGTTACGGTGGCTAGATGTCCTGGGCTCAGCAGGAGTTACGGTGGCTAGTTTTCCTGCCAAGACTATAATCTGGGCTCATTCAGGAGTTACGGTGGCTAGTTTTCCTGCCAAGACTATAATCGTGGCTCAGTCAGGAGTTACTGTGGCTAGTTTTCCTGCCAAGACTATAATCTGGGCTCAGTCAGGAGTTATGGTGGATAGTTTTCCTGCCAAGACTATAATCCTGGCTCATTCAGGAGTTATGGTGGCTAGTTTTCCTGCCAAGACTATAATCTGGGCTCAGTCAGGAGTTATGGTGGATAGTTTTCCTGCCAAGACTATAATCCTGGCTCATTCAGGAGTTATGGTGGCTAGTTTTCCTGCCAAGACTATAATCGTGGCTCAGTCAGGAGTTATA